CTAAAGTTATTGCAAGTATCACCAAAGAAATGGATAAAGAGGTTGAAACGCTGAACAATTCACAACAAGAAGAAATGGAATCGAAAATTAATCAACTAGATATAACCACCACGCCGGAGGACATAAACAATCTATTGGCCCAACAATATTCTACACAGAATTTTGTTCGTAAACGCTATGAATCAGAATTGGAGGCGAAAATTGGGCATCAAAAGAATGAATATCGTCAGTGGATTACAAGTCAAGTTAGTGAATTATTTCAATCCAGTCCAGTTTCAACGCCACTGGGCAATCGTTCGTCTATGTTCATTTCCCAACAACCATCAATGGAGGAAAGTTTTACCATACATTTGGGATCCCAACTGAAGCATATGCATAATATTCGTATATTGAGTGCTAACGTCAATGATTTGTGTAGTCCATTGCATGCAGATGAAAGGTAAATTGACCAGTAAATAGGGACATTGATTATAACTATTATGGCCAATGTGCAGGATTATGAAAATAAATTCAAATGAATTAACCCTTTTTGCTTTATCTTCTTTATAAGATCTGTTAATGTTCAGATGTATTTCTCGTATATATTGAAGCTTCAACAGGAAAAAACTATTTATTGAATATGAATATATATTATATGAATATATACGCATTTCCTGCTTGATTACGATGCAGGTTACACTATCAATTTTATTTAAATTAAAATATTAACTAATCCATTTCAGTTTAAATGGCCTCAATATGGCTTTGGGTCTCTACTCTAGTTCCCTATGCGGTGTTGTTGTTTTAACGCCATCAGTGCAGGCACAAGCTAATAAAGACATAATAAAAAATGCTAATATGTCAACAGAATTTCATTTTAATCAGGTAATATGGAAAATCAATAACTTTCTTAAAAATAACTAAAAAACTAAAACTTATTTTATTTTTTTAGATTGATGACCAACTTGAAAAAATTGAACAGCAAATTCGCCAATTGAATCTCCTCAACTCTTCATCTACTCCCAGTACTAAAAGTTTAAGTACAGTTAGTACTGATGTTAGTATAGGCAGTACAGAGGGTGGTGAGAATGATGGCATCGTCTCTGGTGTCATAAATCCATCGGTTCAAAGTAGTGCTACTAACTCACCCGTTAAGACTAGTGCAAAATTAAAAACTGGCGACTTTTTCATTACTAAACATTCCAATCTATCGCAGTCGCATGTTATCTTCCACTTAATCTCAGATGAACCAATAAATTCTCCAAGTGAAATTAACTCAAGACATCCTGTGATATTGGGTTTACGCAACATCCTCAAGACAGCAAGTCGCCATGATGTTACAACTCTAACAATACCGGCTTTATTGCGACATGAAATGTCTGAAGATATGACGGTGCAATGGTGCATGCGTCGTGCTGAATTGGTATTTAAATGTGCTAAGGGTTTTATGATAGAATCGGCATCTTGGGGTGGCGCTGAACTGAGGTAAGTAATCATATGCATATGATAGTAAATATATATTAAACTACAGCGTATTTAGTACACATTTTTTGGGTGTTGGGGGGGTATCAGTAGCTGAAAACCGATGCATTTTTTGATAGACCTTTAGCTATAAATACTCACTATAGCATAAAGGCAGGAATTTTTTTAGCCTTCGGATATTTTGAGAAAATTTTTAAGGTCACTTAAACCCATTTCTATCAATTCGGCGACATACAGCGTTAAATCTACTGACAGTTAATAGGTTGATTAGGGACGTTGCTCGGTGGCCACGTGATATGATATATCTTGACATTTTATTTTTATTTAACGACTAAGACTGAGGGAAATCTTTGCATGAAAGCATCCTGTTTTATTAGTTTTTGTGGAGAATCACATCCTCTAGATGCCCTAATTAAATCAGTTTTTCTTATTTGATTTACAAATATACATATAGCTTTTGGTACTTTGGGGTAGAAAACGCTGTAGGCTCGGCGAGTTAAGCTGCAGCTGGTATGTTTAGTTCTGCTAAAAAATATCTAAAACGACACCAAAATCCATATTGAAATCGCCTTCCTACACTTTTGGGCCTTGTAGCAAGCAGCGTTCGAAAATAAACAGTATGGTATTGTACCGTAGTGTTCTGTACCGTTCCGAGGTGGAGTGTTACACTAAGATAATGTCCCGTACCGGAGCACAACCCTTAAAAAATATTTTAGTGATACTGTACCGGAGCACAACGAGAATCGTACTGTACCGCAGTCGGAGCACTGAAAAACGTAGTGTACCGCAGTCGTAGCACTACGAAATCGTAAAATCGTTGTGTATCACATGGGGGAACATTAAAAAAATTATGTACCGGTAGTGTACCACATATTTGTCGTTTATGATTTGCGAGAAAAATTTGATGTTTGATGTTCTTGATAGTGCAAAACTTACTAATACAATTCAATATTATGAAAATAAAAGCTGTATTTACTTTTTTCGTCATATATGTTTAGATTAGTTGCGACATTGAAGAAAGTAGAAAAATATGGGAACAGGTAGAAAGAATAAAAAAGGAGCAAATCTGAAGGGATAATATTTTGTATAATTTGTACATTGAAAATTTTAATTTTCCGCGAAAAAGTTTATTTTAGTGGTTCCGTTGTAATGGGTTATTTTGCAAATAATTTACCTGTTATTTTATGGTACCGAAAAGTCAATGAATATAGGTGTAAAAACAAAATAATAAAAGCATGGCTGAGTGTTTAAAATCAGTTTTATGATTTCGATTTTTTTAATGTTGTGCATGTGGTACACTACTATTTTAATGCTCCGATTCCGGAAGACTACGCTTTTTAGTGGTGCAACTCCGGAACACTACGATTTTTTAGTGTTCCGACTGCGGTACACTACGATCATCGTTGTGTTCCGGTACAGTATCACTAAAATATTTTTTAGTGGTAGTGTATCGGTATACTACCGCTAAAAATATTTTTAGGGATACTGTACCGGTACAGTACACTATGTTTGTGTACTGTTTATTTTAGAACGCTGGTACCAAGATAAAAAACAATGTTTCCGTGTATTCGGTAAAGTTTTCTCAAAAGTGTGGAGAGGAAAAGGGGAGAAAAAAACCACAGATATTAAACCATATGGAACGTCTTGCTCTCACAATTCCCCCTAATTACGGTTTATTTGTTCTAATAAGACTGTCTATTCGTATATTATATATTTTGCGAATGTATTTTAAGTATCAGCAGCATCGCTACTGTCACCTAGTATATAACGGTTATTATCTGTGGGTTTTCTCCATCGAAGGCTACCTCAGAAGTGTTTATGCTCATCCGAGCAGCGCACCTGTTGTCTGCAACCTCTTGAAAAAATGCGGCATCATTGTTTTGTTTAAATTTTTGTGACTGTATTTTTAAAGTATTTGGTTTATCCCAAAATATGGAATGCCCCACAACTTTTTGCTGTCTTTTTAAATTAGCATCAAAACCAGACGCAAAATATTACTTGTTAATAAAAACTACTCATGGTTAACAATTCCTTTTTTCAGCACCCTCCAGTTGTTATTGCCTCACGATATATCCGAAGAGCTATTCAACACATTAGCAAGTATGGTTCCCAATGTATTTCGCGTGGCGAATCCTAAAATACTAGTTGATAATTCCAAATAAATCAAGAAAATTGTAATTTTTTAATGTTCGTTTATTTAAACTCGAAAATGTTTATATATATATGGGTGTTTATATTTCGTTTAGGTTTTTATAGCATCTTGCTTTTGTCATCAAATATTATGTTTAATCCTTCAAAAAGAAGTAAACACTTTTCAACACATTCACAATCAAAAATTCCTGTAAATTTCATTCGTTCATTATATGTAGTCATTTTTAATAATTAATGAATATAACTAAATTATGCTCTGTTCTTTTGCTGTTAAATATACATACGTTACTATTCAATGAATAATACCAAATTTATTTAACTTTATTTTCGTGTTGTCACTGATTCACAGGTAAACATAATTAAATTTCAATATATATCTTTAATTGTTGTAGTTTTTAACAATAATAATATTCAATTTATACATTTTTTTAATTTCAATCTACTTTTTGGAACAGAAATGATGTGATAAATTTCACTCATCTCTTTACGTATTTTTTTAAATATTTATTTGAGATTTGTTTGTGTGTTCAGTTATCCACATAAATATATATTTGTTTTGTTCATGCTATAGAATAAGAAGAAATATTCTATAAAATAATTCTATTATGTTTGGTATTAATAATGAGTCTGTTGGATGGTTCTTATAAAAGAAAAATAATATCTTTATCATATAAAAGTGCTTCACAAAATATAATTTTGTCTGTTTAAATTGTATGAGTATTTTATACCTTAGTTTGTTGTAATGTTGGTCGAAAATAATATAAATACTTTGAGAGTTGTCAGTATGTGTTCTGCAGTTTTACAAGCGAAGTGGCTAATAAACATTTTTATGTGACCTGACTATGTTGTATTGTAAGCCAAAAAAGAAATGTCAACAGAAAAATTTTGATATACCATACTACCTATTAAGAATGCATAAAAACTAATTTTTAATCTTTTTAAATTTCTAATAAAATCAAGTTGTAGTTTTGTTAGTCATTTAAAAATATTTTTCTGACTGTTTTGGAAAAGAATGTAATTGTTTGGAAGCAACAATGTACAATGAAGTATACTTATACCAAATATGGTCCAACATGAAGACTAATTTTGACATCAATTTAACAATAAACGTAGTGCATTTTGCAATGTGTTTATTTGACTCTCTTTAAATTTTAAGTCACAATAAATCTTTTGACTGGAAACTTAGACGTCAGATAGGCTTACTGGTACAAGATAAAATGGAGTTCAAAACGCTGTTCCAATTTTGATCCAATGTACAATTAGGAGTACTCAATATTTTTAATAATATACCCATAACCATTGAAGCTAAACAATGATTGTAATGACGGTGCCCTTTCGTCTTATAGAATCATATTCCATGAAAATCAGGTGACTTTCTACGTTGATAGTCAAGCGACTCTAAAAGCATTGGAGACCTATGGCAGTTTTGAAATGCAGAAACGATCTGGATGTGTGCTAATCGGCCAATCCTGGGTGTTGTAATATAATTGATAACGGAGCGGCACCTAGACGCTGATCTGGCCCAAATAACATGTGTTTGGAGCACTTGAAAGCTGTCATTGTGTTATTTCGTCTAAACTAATTTCCGACATTTTTTCGTTGAGCGTCATCCAAAATGTATTTGTATTGCATAAACTTCAAAAGACATGAAGAAATGTTTCCTATATCATTGCTCTTACTCTGATCAATTATTGATTTACTAAGATCAGGACATCTACCCATCCATCAATAATTCCAGCCAATCGATGGATGGCAGGTGATGGTGGATTAGTGTAAATGCTATTCAGTCCTATATGATAGATCCTCTGTTATATAGACCCTTCCTTCTCACTATAATAGAGTTTCTTTAAGCAGGAAATTTTAGGGTGTTTGTAAATATTCTTGTGATGATGCATTAATAAGACCTTTGACTTCCCATGAAGATGTATATTTCTGAATTGTGCAGCACTTGTGTTGGCAGATTACAATGGTGTCACAGAGCTCACCTCCAAGATGACAAGAGACAAGAGACTGTTCCCACTTCCAATCTTATTGAAGGTATCTGATGTACGCAATGTGTCGATATTAACATAAATGTAGAAATTAATCAGGTCCGTAAAATTTAAAAGGGAAACTTTCTGTTTCAGTATAGTTCTTCTTTTTCTGGTTTCTGAATTCCTCTCATTTAAGAGTTTAAATCTTTGGCTGAGGGTAGCGCGTTTGACTGTAATGGTATACCCGATACCACACTGTGCTACAGGGTATTAATACTTTTGGGCATTTGTTTGTAACATGCAAAAAGAAACGAGATAAACCCATTGTTCCTTTTGATGATCTTCGTAGAAGCAGATTCTGACTCGATTTATACTTTCGTCCGACTGTCAATATACTTTTACCCAAATTACAGGTCGATTTTATTGTTCGATTGCGTTTAAAATTTTGTATCTTACATTTTTTATTTTTTTTCATCTGTGTCTATTTTTCACCGAATGTGTAATATTGACCCAAATAAAAAGCATTTTGACATACTAAACTGTAATACACTCTCCACGATAAAGATTCTCTGCACAAGATATCAGATACATGCTAGAAACTCCTTTGTGAGATATAGCTTTGAGGTTAATTGCAACTGATTTAAATTTCATTTAATTTTATTTCTTACAGATGACTACTAAATATTCATAGTGATGTTGGGTATCATAAAGTCGGCAATGTCCTACTTTCTTTCCTTACTTGTTATGTTTAATATTTTGTTGAGTTGCCGTTCTTTTTTAATCGTCCATAAAACACGGTAACAATAAATTAAAAAAAAAAACAATCCTTTTAAATTATCATTTAGCCTAAAATGTGTAGTCTTTTTTCTTTATGAGAATATTTGAATTACCTTCGAGAATTCCATTTGTAATTTGAATATTTCAATTGTAATTTGAGAATTTCATTTCCATTTGAAATTCGAAACTTTTCATTTGTAATTCGATTTTTTATTCTAATTATTTAATTCGGAATTCGAATTTCAAACGAAATAATTTGAAATTAAATGGAGTGCTATCATGGTAGAAAAATACAGGTAACAGCAAGTGTTGAAGTACAACAATCGTAACAACAACCACATACAAATTTGTTGTTGTACGTAATACAAGTGTCAGAGTTCTGTGCCCAAAAATGTAAACAAAATAATTAATTTTCAGTAAATAATTTTCAAAAATTCAATAATTTTCAAATTTTAATGCGTTCACATCATTCCTCTGAATGTATAGATGTTAGCTGTTGGTCCTAATCTCTCAATACTTCGAGCAATCGTCAGAAAATCGTGGAAAAGGCAACATCCCTTTCAAGTTGAAACTAAACAGCATACATACATAAAGTATACTACATTTTGCAATTTTAGGAAACATGAAATATACGAATATATTATCGAACGTGGTGTCGCTGTTCCTTAACCAAAAAAAAAAAAAATCCGAACCATCGCCTTTGGCGTTTTATTAAGTATAACGACGATTTTTTCTATTATTAGGCAAAAACTATATTCATATTGCCCTGCAGTGAAATTTCATACCAAAAAAGGGTATACCTATTGTATATGAAGAAATGGAATTAAATGACAAAACGTAATATCGAGTTTGACACTAGTATTACTATAGAGTCAAATCAGCTGGGACTTGCTGTTACATGTAATAATTATATCATGGAGTGCTACAAACAAAAAATAGAAATCATACGAATAACGAAATCTGAAATTACAATTTAAATATTACAAATTTCCAAAGGAATAAAAAATTAAAATGTTCCGAATTACATCTGGAAAAAGTGTAGTTACCTAGGTTTAAGCATACTTTACATATGTTTAGAAACATTGCGTTGGTGCATGGAAATTTGCTTATGGTTCGCCTGACGTTAGCCTTAAATAGTTTAATTTTAATGAGACCGGGTCGGTCGTCAGTTTGATCTATTTGTTACATTAAAATTATCGATATAAATTCATTTCCTTCTATGAAGTTCGACCCTGCCACTCTTCTTTTTTAATAAAAAAAGGAGAAAAAAGATTAACAAAAACAACAAAAGTTTGTTTGTATGAATATAATAAACAGGGTGTTTTTAGTTTGAAAATAATTTATTTAAGGGTGTTTTTCGTTTTGTTTAATGACTAAATTATTTAAGTATATATGTATGGTATTATGCACGCATTCGCATTTTGACTTCGTGTATTTTATTTTCTTGTTGTATTTATAATTAAATAAATTTTATTTTTTTTATTTGTTTCATTGTGTAAACTAATTATAATTAGTGTCAGTACATTTGTTTTTTCGTTAAACTAAAAACAATATATGTATATTTAATGTGTTTCTTGTGGTTGCTCTTTTTCATTAATATGTAGAATAACATCATTGTTTTGCTGGTTTGTTTTGTTTAATTTCGCTTCATTAATTGTTTTTTTTTCCTCAATATATCAGTATTTTCTAATAAATATATGTATCTGGAGATTGTGAAAATTATTTAAATAATTAAAATGTCTACTAAATTATTTCCAAATTAATATAATATGTTAACTTAAATTTACAATATATGTATTGTAAATAATGGCAAATATTGCTTAATGTTTTATTTTGTAAAATTTGCAATATATGTATGTAAGTAATTATATGTTTTATATTAAATGCAGTGCGATGAATATACATAGAGTATTTATTACAAGATCTTTTACACAGTTCACGCAACTTGTTTCCAAAAATATGAATAAAATGCAGATATAAACATCTCGAAAACATTTAAGTTTCAAAAAAAAAAAAAACATACACACATATTTTTATTCAATTTAAATATTTTTTTGTTGGATTTAGAGAACCCCTGATGTTTTGTAATGAATTCTATATTCTATAAACCCTCACTGCATGTCGGATTTTTGCATTGGAATTGTGTGTTTTGTTTGAGTCAGGGTTATTACTAATTTCATGTAAGGTATCTATATATATCATAAATTTATTTTTTCATCATTACTAATTTTTATGTTCGAAATTGTCTGATTACAGTTGTTTCGTAATTTTATATTTATTTTTCGATTTTTTATTAATTTTTATTTATGTCTTTGTTTCTAAATTTTCATCTACATGTAATTTAGTTTCGCTTAATGTTAAGAAAGTGGGAGTTTTTAATTTTCACGGACACCTTGTTGATAATAAAATATGTATTAAATAAATATCGCTATAACTTATTCGTTAAACTATCACAAATCAAATACTTAAAAGAGAATAATAAACAAATAATAAACATATCAACAAACGGAAAAGGTTTCTATTTTACTTTATTTATTTTTAACGATGTTGTTGTTCTTGTTCTGTTTGTGAACATTTACATTTGACTTTCTTTACGCCATTGGAAAGTTCCCGATTTAACACCAATACTTGAGGATCCTTGGCTATTGCTCGATAGTATATTGTTGGTTCTCCGTATTAGCTGGGCTGCCGAATCGAAACGGCTGCGTATGAGACGCATTGCGGGGTTTGTTGTGATACCACTGCGTTTACTTTTGCTGTAATATAAAATAAAAAATGTTTTATTTGTTAAAAATTAATGCGACACAATATATACAATGAAATCAAATAAATTTTAGACAGTCCTCAAGTCCCGAGAGCGCTTGGAATGATAATTTTGATAATTAAACCCTGTTGAACAAGTACAGGGTGAGATGAAAAAACTGCAACCAACATCAGACTCCTGTCATTTCAAAGCCACTATTCTGACAGCTGTTAAATTATTTCAGTATCAGCTCATTATATTGTTCACAAGCGTACAAAAGCATTTTGGTGAGAATTTTCCAGAAAAAAAGTTATTCGTGATGGAATTCAAGCGTGATAGTGTGATTTCTTTATATTTGGCTGGAAAACCACAAGTTTCCACCTCTAGAGCACTCCAGCATTTAAATGTGAATAAATCTTTTGTATCTCGTACCATCGCTCGGTACCGTGATACTGGTAGCGTAGCCAGACGTCAAGGAAGTGGAGACCATAATTCGTGTCAAAGGTGACCAACTTGAATAAAACTAAACTTATTCTAAAATTTGATGTTATTTCCGACATTTTTTGCTTTTATTCAATAAAATTTAAAAAAAAATGTAATGAAAAATAGAGTATACTCGATTTCTTTTTTTTTTAATTCGCAGGAGTACTGATAATTGATCGAGCCAGTTTAATTTTGCCCAACTCGAATTTGCATTTCGCAACTCTGACTGAAACCAAACGGCCGGAATTTGACCTGAAAATTCAAGTGTGCAACCAACCAGAAGTTTGTTTTAACGCAATCATATTACTTTCCTAAGGCAAGCATTTAAATGTGAATAAATATTTGTATCTCGTACCATCGATGGTTACCATGATACTGGTAGCGTAGCCGGACGTCAAGGAAGTGGAGGCCATAACTCGTGTCAAAGGTGACCAACTTAAACAAATCTAAACTTTGATGTTATTTCCTACATTTTTTTGCTTTTATTAAATAAAATTAAAAAAAATGTAATGACTAAATATCTTTTACTAAAACCAAACGGCCGGAATTTGACCAGAAACTTCAAGTGTGCAACCAACTAGTTTTAACGCAATCATATCACTTTCCTAAGGCAATATGAAAACATGTGTATACATTGGATGTAGAGACTTTTTTCCCAAAATCTCTTATGTAGCTATTGTGGGAAAAGTTCAATTCTAAAATGAGAACAAAACAACAAGATTAATTGTTTTGCTTATCGCCGTTGCAGGATGAAATCGACATACTATTTGGCTACGTTATTTTGTCGATTTATACCGATTTGGTATTTTTTCTGACATTTGTTATAAATCTTAAATAGAAAAGTTAATTATTGCTAGTTTGGCCGACTCAAAATGGTTTCGAAATTCATTTCAGTGCACCTCTCTGGTGCCAAGAATTAATGCCATGAAAGATGATTGTTATTTCTAGATAATTTCAAACAGCCGAAATACACCAATAGTAGTAGTTGAAAATGGTATAATTTCCTTAACAATTCCCTAAATGCCACACATATCCCTTACAACTAACTAAAAATTATTCAATTTTTAACTCACCTAGACGAACTGGCTTGATTTTCTTTTAAATTTCCCAATATGATACGCATATGGGTATCACGGGCAAAATGATTGTCTGGCAAAACAGATTTACCACCAGAGCTGCTGCTGCTCGGTCCATTGCCGCAGCCGCCATTCAATGCAGATGCACCGCCAGCACAATCATCAATGTTATTGATCGAAGGCAATTGTCCCGGTGAACTTAGTTCGCTGCTTGGCGAATGGGGTGGTGTTGCATACAACGGCGACATACACTCCATGTCGTACAGATCAGCCTCATTGCTGGCCATGTGGGTAGCTGAAATCATAAAAAAATAGTGACGCAAGTTAAAAAAGTCAAATGTAAAATTGCTTTCCGCCACTTACCCATTTGATGTTCACTGAGATCGGGTAATATTTGGGAATGACGATGATGACCACCGCCACCACCTCCACCGGCTTTGTGACCCAACGATGATGATGAAGCTGAATTGCTGTGCTTGGAATTAACAATTGGAGCATTTTGCATAAATGGATTATTGCGTGAGCTAAGCTTGGTTTGTCGTTGTAATTGTTGGGTAAATGTGAGAGGTGCCTGCTAAAAAGGCATAAAAACATATGTTGATTAGATTCGCCTTTCAAGATCAATGTACAAATATGTACTTACATCATTACTGCTACCGGTTGATTGACTAGATATAACACTTTTACGTTTGTGCAAGCTACTGGTATCCGATTGCATTGTATTCTGATAGAAATTATTCGAACTGTGTGTTGAGCTGGAGGCATTTAGAATACTGGGTGCTGCCATATTATTATTAACGGTAGCCGTGGTGGCTGCCGAACAAACTGATGAGGCTGAGGCATGTGGTGGATAGGGCGAGGTTGAAGGTAAAATGTTCATACCCAAATTGGCATGAGCCGGAATTGAGGGTGCTTGTTGATCAGGTGAACGTAACATGTTGCCATGATGAAATTTAGCAGCAGCATCCATGGCTTGATTCGCTTCATCTGCAAGAAAATTCCCAAAAAAAAAAAAAAAAATAGCATTATTCTTATTCAAAATATGAATAAGAGAATTAAGCAATTACTCACTTTTGGTATAGTTGTCAAAGATTTTGAGAATATTTGTGCGATTTGATTTAGCGGCCAATTTGATGGGTGTACGACCACAGTGGTCGAATTTGTAGGGATTAGCACCATACTTTAGCAAAGCCACAACACATTTCTCATGTCCCTCCTGGGCCGAAATACCCAAGGCTGTAGCTCCCTGTTTGCAGGCATGATCGGCCAAAGCACCAAAATATAAAAGGATATTCATGACATCGTGATTGCCCTGCCAGGCACAGGAATGTAGCGGTGTACGAGCCTCCAAATCCATGGCATTGACATCAGCATTACCTGTAAGCACAAAAATAATGAGAACACTTTCCCTCTTTCTCCATCTCTTATATGTAATAAGATAGAGGACACACGAAACGTTTGTTGAAATTATGATATTTTGAAAGAATGACCAGACAATGATAGAGTAATCCTATTTCATAAAAAGGAAAAACAGATCCATATTGCCCACTTCCGAACTTCTTCTATGTGTATACGATGTACTCAGTTCGGACCCAATCAGGTACCCCTCCTAGAGAGTTATCGTGTCTAAATGTCTTGAAACTGATTTCATCCAAAAATTTGGTCGTAAAAACGAGACAATATTTCTAAACTGTAAAACTTCTTTTTAGGAAGAAAGTGTTTAAAGAGGCACAATCTACACTAAATTGTATATAGGCATAATAGTTTTTAAAAATAGGTTCGTCTCGACCAAAAAGGATTTCTTTATGTTTTCTTCTTTCTTCTCTCCTACTTACCCAAAGTGATTAGCATTTTCACCATTTCCGCATGCCCTTGCCAGGCAGCCACATGCAAAGCAGTTCGACCCTCACTATCGGAGATATTCACGTCGACATCAGTGAATTCCAACAAATATTTAACCATCTCCAATTTATTCTCCAATGCCAATATGTATAGCGTGGTCCGTGAATCGGCATCTTTGGAATTGACATCGCAGTTGTATTTTAAGAGATATTGCACCGTCTCCAAGTGACCCTCAATGCAGGCTAGACGAAAAGCGGTCTTGCCATCATGGGCTTTTTGATCCACAAACGTTGAGAGGCACTCGAGCAGTACCTGTACACACTGGGTGCGTCCTTCCTGGGCCGCCAAGTGTAAAGCGGTCTTACCCTCATTATCACACTCGTCAATTTTGGCGCCCGACTCTAATAGCTGAAGGCAAACTTCATGGAAACCCTCGAAGGCCGCGTAGTGTAATGGTGTCCAGCCGGCATTATCACGATGGGTCTCATCTAAACCACGATCCAATAGTTGACGTACCGTTTCAATATTTCCCTGAGCAGCAGCTATGCTGAGGACAGTTCGGCCCTCGGAATCCATGCAATCAATGCCACAGCCCCAGAATAGTAGAAGTTTGACAACATTTGCATGACCGGCAGTACAGGCGGCCCATAGCGGGGTACGACCCATAAAATCGGCCAAGTCGGGATCAGCACCATTTTCCAGCAAAAGTTCACAGACCTCGGCATTGCCTTCAAACGAGCTAACCAGCAAAGGTGACATGCCGTCATTGTCCAATTGATCTGTGTTGGCACCATGTTCCAATAGTGTGGAAATAACTTTGCTATAACCCGAAGAGCCACAAAGCGCAGCAACACACAGAGCACTGCGTCCGTCCAGATCTAAATGATTGACATTGGCTCCGTTTTCCAAGAGAATTTCCACAATATCATAATGTCCCATATAGGAGGCAGCTATGAGGGAGGTGCGCCCCTGACGATCTACAGAATTAACATCTGCTCCATGTTCTATGAGTATCTTGAGTATATCTTCGTGGCCACTCCAGGCGGCGGCCCGGAGAGCTGTACGCCCTTCCTTGTCGGCTAAATCAATTTTACAAGCCGGGTGGGCTATGAGCAATTTGACAACTTCAGTGTGACCACCCCAGGAGGCGGAACGTAATGGTGTCCAACCATCCCGATCGGCATGGTTGACATCGACACGTTTCATGCGTCCCGTGCCATCGTTGCAGGGTTGTGCAAAATTCAACAGCAGCTTTACCACCTCCAAGTGGCCATTGCGTGCCGCAATGTTGAGGGCAGTCTGCCCATTGTAATCTTCAATTTCCAGATCAATGGGTCCTTTGCAGGCATTGAGAGCCCTCTCGAGCAACAAATGATTGCCATCATTGGCCAGAATGTGTATCAAAGCCTTGCCTTTGTGTAGTTCTATGCGATTGGAGTCGGAAAGTTGATGTAGCGTAGATGAGGCGTTGTCATCCTGACTCTCATGATGTGGCTCACTTTTTTCCGAAGGACTCGATGGCCTCTGGGTTTCCAGAATGCACGAACGCTCACTGGATATTAACAAATCGGCCAATTCAAAATCAATATTTTGAGATTTTTCTGACAGCTCGGGCGACATTAGCGATGACTCACAAGACGTTTGATTGTCGGCATTATTAATGCCCGTCTCAATGAGTAGTTTCAGTATTTTTGCATCTGTGGGTAAACTGGGCTTGAAGAAATCGCATAGCAATTGCGAGAACTCATCACACAATTCGTTGTTCAAAAACTTTTCAATCATGTTACGGGTTTTGGGTAGAAAATTCGGGTCATTTTTAAAGTCCAGTTCGCACATGGAACAGCAGTTTAGGTGGTTGGTGTAGAAGCAATCATTTAAATTCACCCGTGACTCGAGCAGCATTAGAATCATGTCCAAGTCGATGTTACGATTGGTTAGATATTCTCCGGACTTGATTAGATGGTAGATGAATTTCCGCACCGTGTTGGCACACAGAGTCTCGGCCACCAACAAGTAGTACAGCGAAATCATGACATGGCCCTCATTGACATCACATATGAATTTCTTAGTGGCAAATTTCACATCCACCAACCAATCCGAAAAGGAATTATGGAAAATTTTTAAACGCCTCTGATCGCTGTCGTATAGCAGTATGTTCTTCATCAGGTGTAGACGTTTTTCAAACTCCTCGTTGTCGATGGTATAGTTGTGGGTCCTGAGGCAATTGAACAGGAACAATTTGTCGACATAGCCTGAGGAGGCCAGCAGCACATTCAGCACTGGCCTTATTTTCATGTATTGCTTCTTGTTGAACGACTTCTGACATATATACAAATACAAGCCATTCAGGGTACAGGGTATAAGTTTTATTTCACGAAAACTGAAGAAATTCTCCTTGATACCATTCAGAACTTTTTCCAGGTAAAGAATACAACCATTGGATTTGATGTAGAGCTGATGCAGAGATTCTATGATTTCCTTTGTCAACATTATGCTATCCTTGAAATCTGAGTTCAATCGATTGATGATATACTCCTGGACATCTTTGACCACATGCGACTTACGCAAGTCATCCAAGGTGATCTTCTTGAAACCAGAGAACATGCGTGTAATCTGTTTGGTTTGTTTCTTCGTTGTACACACCAGGAACAGCCATTTTGGGAAGAGGTGAATGTGATTGGAAAGCAGTTCGGCGACATTGCGACTTTTGTGGGTGGTACCGCCGCCACGGCCACCCTTAAGTGTAGAAATTAGATTTCCCTCATTAATGTAATTCTCATCGATGGAATCGATAAGCAACAGCAAAGCTGTCTTGGGTGGAGTTAGCTCCAGCAGCGGAAACAATATGGCCTTCTTGAAACACTCATCGGGGTTCTTCTCAATATTGTCCACAGTTAGGCATTCAAAAATTTCCGGATTGGTAAGTAGCATTTCATAGTAGCCATCGGCAATGATGGTTCGGCAACTTTTAGTCTTGGGCAAGGGAGGAGGTAGAGTATTGAAGCAACTGGTTTGTTTCTCCTCCATATCGTCTTCCTGCTCATCGGTTTTGTTTTTGGATTTTGTTTCAAAATCGATAAGATCATTTTCATCCCGCAGTTCTGCGCTTTCTTCCCGTAATTTTCGTTCGTCTTCTTCTTCTTCCTCTTTATCCTTGTTTTCCTTTAGAAATTGCTCCATATCTTTATCAGCCTCAGGCCTGTCTTCGTTGTTTTGTTTCTCATCGTTGTTACTATCCCTGTCCTGCTCCTCGCGTATAGCTGCTTGAATTTCTTGCTTTAAATCCTCATTACCCACCGCTGCAATGTCTTCTCCCCCACCCTGTTGAGGTGCATGGTTGTTATTGTTGCTGGGCAAACTCAAATTGCTGTTAATATGTTTGACCGGGGATGCCACGTTACTGGGTCGTGTTAATTTCACTGGAATCTTCGATTTGCGTCCGGGACTAGTTTTACTCGATGAGGGTAAATCCCTATCGGATTCTTCCCGCCGCTTAACCTTTTCCGTATCGTTATCCTTATTCTCATCATAATCTTTATTTGGTTTTTTCTTCTGGCCCTTTGGTGGATGGGTACCATAGCATTTTTTTTCTTGCTCTTCATCCTCTCCGCCCATTTGTTGTGGAGGCACCGGTTCAGATTTTTGTCTCATCAACTGTAAGTTTTCCGCTTTCTTGGATGTGGAAGTACGTCGTTCATGGAAATTTTCCAATTCGGCAATATCACATTCTTTGGCGCCACGTTTGAGTTCGGCTATCAGAATATCTTCGGCATTTTCGTCCAAAGATATATTGTTCATGGCCTCATCCAATTTGGATTCTTGCTGTTGGACCTCATCATGCAGAAACGAGAAGCCTTCATCGATGATACGCTGGCTTTCATCTTTGGCTATTAGTGACGAATGGCTTAGGATTTGTAATACCATTTTCCGTATGAACAGTGATAGGCTATGGCACTCGGGATTTTGTGATTCGATGAGGTACGAGGCCAATAGTTTGCGATTCAGCAATCCTCGTGTACCGGAATTGCCATTCATTATGGCCTGACAAATGCTTGTCTTGCCTGAACCGTTTGAGCCCAAAACCAAACAACCATTATAGGTGGAAGCCGAAATGGCAGCTGCCTTGGCCCGCGATGACATAAAGCCAGCTGCAGAAGAGCTGCCAGCAAAGGCTTCATTCTTTGCTCCATTTGATGGGGTTGGTCCCAGCAGACCCGGCATGGTTTTTTTTCCGGCGGTTCTCTGCTCCAAACACATGGCTATTTTCTTTAAGACCCATTCACGATTTATGTACACCTTAGAACCATAACGATGCTGATGGTGATGGTGCTGATGGCCATATTCGCGTTGGGCGCCACCAAACCCATTCACCTCCTTGTCCGGCGACAGTTTTTTCTGCATAAGAACTTCTAAATTATCAGAAGTTTCTTCTATGTCACCACCGCCACCATTTGCAGCCCCCTCTAAGGCAGCTTCCATTTCATTTTCTGGATCAAAACTTTTACGTGCCACCTCCAGGGGGAAATTTTGTTGCACCAAATTGGCGAAGTGTTCCTCGCGGGCCAAATTGGAAAAACTTGAGTTGGGACAATCTTTTCCGGAAATTTCCATTTTCTTTTGCAGTTGGGTCGTGTCCTTGAGGAAATTCAAAATACGGCGATCTTCCAGTTGATGATTGGGTGTGGAACTACCTCCTCCGTTATTACCACAATTTAAGGGCACTCCACGATTTGCATACATATTACTTGAAGTACAACCCGAATCGGGTTCATCATCCAGATCTGTAACAGGTACCACCGTGTTACCATTGCGATTAGTAGCCGCCACCGCAGCAGCTGCCGCTGAAGTATTTACCCGGTTGCTATCACGTGGCGCATTCAGTTGTTTATAATCAATAATATTGGTTAATTTTACATCTGTGTTGGTCACCTCTTTTGCATTTAGGGGGCGTGGAATACCAGCCGTTGCATTGCCTACGGCAGCTGAAGTTAAACGACTACGATCACCACTTTTATAACGATCTGATTTACGCAGCGGCGTGGCATAAATCATTTCTTTTGGCATTTGTCCTGGACTGCTGGTGCCGGCAACCAAATTATGCCGACCCACCGAACTTTGATGCTTGTTATTGGGCGCCGAATTCGAATTCGAATTAGCTAAATTAACATTGACCAAATGTGAACCCTGATTGCTAATATTGTTCAATAGTAATTGCTGTGACAAAGCCTTATTCAGATTGATGTTATTGGGACTGTGCGCGGCGGCCTGAGCCGATTTTTGTTGTTGTATCTTTCGCACAGACTCATTGAACATGGCCTGGCAGGGTAGATTTTCGTAAATGTCATTACGCAAATGTTCATTATCCGTATGTTTGGACATTGTAAAGGAGTTGTTTTTTGTTCTATTTCGAAGTCTTAGCGTTAAGTAAATCTTTGGTTTGTGTGTGTGTGTGTAGGTGAGTGAGTAAGTTTGTTGAATTGTTACAATCTCTTCAGTTTCAACTAGTCTTGCGGATTTCTTATGAGTTAGTTTATTCTTTGCAGTTTTGCTGCCAAGTTCAGTTTTGAGTCGATTTTTACATAATAATTCCTCTGGATTTCACATTAAACAGTCAGTCATGTGAAGAGAGTAGATCTGAAAAGATAAGGCAAATAGAGAAATGTTATTAATAAAGACAACAAGTTTAATGGATGATATTATTTTAATATTTTCAATCTCAATTATAAATTACAAATATACAAAGTACCGTGATTGAAATTTTTGTTTAAACCTCTATTGATGATGGGATTTGATAGTAAACATATCCAAAGTCAAAACAACAAATTTTACAGGATGGCAGTTCAAAGCATCCTCGTCATGCTCTTTTGTTCTTGTCCGTACTAGTCTCTTTTACATATATATTAATTTATTTCAATTAAATTACTCGAGTTCAATGTGTTAATGGAACATAAAGACCTTTTACATGTCTTAAGGTTAGAAAAATTGTGAAAACCAATTTTACATGTCTTCTAAAAAATAGGAACATTGAGAATATTTATACCCTACAACACTATGTGTTGGGGGTATTATAAGTTTGATTGGGACAGCATTTATGTAACACCTCGAAATATTGATTTCCCACATAGGAAAGTATATATGGATCTTCCTATCTCGCCGAGTTGACTCGATCTAGCTATGTATGTCCGTCCGTTCGTCTGTCCGTCTATCCGTCTATCCATGTTAGTTTGTAATCACTCTACAGGTCGCAATTATGACCCGATCTTCACGAAATTTAGAATGGAGGTGGAGCTAGGGTCAGAATAGAACCCATTTTTTTTTGGAGATGATCGCATAATATTTAGGGGTCGAAATGGACCAAAAACTGAAAAAATGTCGGATTTTGCAGTAGCTATACAGGTCGCTATTATAGACCAATCGACGCGGAACTTCCCATGTAGTTAGAGTTTAGAGCGGGGAAGAAGCCTACCAATTTGGGTGGTCATCGGATAATATTTAGCGGGTAAAATAGACCATATCTTTTGTGTTGAAAAAATTCAAAATTTTTCATTAAACCATGACAAGGTTACTCCTGATCTTTACATTGATGTTAACATCCAACAAAACGGATATATAGCAAAATATATGCGATATATATGTCTATCAAAGGAGATATGCTTGAAAGATCTCTTATATGTCGAGAATGGCCTCTTGGCAGGAAAGAAAAAACGTCTAAAAAATCGCATAAAAATATCTCTCTAAAGGTGAAAATATTGATATTGTAACATTTTCTCATATTTTTTCGATTTTGTCACATTTTTGGCATATTTTCATTTTGAATTAAACATTTGGTAATATTTCTAAAGCTAACAAAACTAAGTAGTTAGGATATCATATACATATCGCATTTATGGCCCGATCCTAACGAAATTTTGCATGGGGATCAGATGAGGGTCAGAATAGAACCCTACTCTTTTTGGAGATGATCGCCATATATTTAGGGGTTGAAATGGACCAAAAAAACTGCAACATTTTCAGCAGGTCGTAATCATTGCCCGATCCTCACGCACATTTGAATGGGGGTTATGGGCATTGCAAAAAGCCAAGCAGTTTTGGATGGCCATCCAAAAATATTCAATGTGTGAAATAGTTTGCCAACTTTTGTAGACAAAATACGAAAAGGTCCATTCCAGTGACTTTTTGGAGAATTCGCAAATACAGGAAAGACACACTTCTGACTATTTCGTTAACGCTGGTTTCGTTAAAGAATATAGTCAAATGTCTGTATCTCATATAGATGCGTTTCAGTCAAAAACCAATAATAAATGTTAATCTTTTGCCACTTCTGAGAGATTATAGGTCTTTGGGAAATATTGGTTCCAGATCTAGGAAGACCATTTACGTGCAACATCTTCCAACAAATTGGAAATGAGCAAATTATTCGAAAATTAGAGAACGAAACCTGATGGTTTTCTTTTATTATTTGTCACAATATCTTGTGGAATTCTTTCGAGTATCTCGCCTATATAAACTGTATCGTTTATTAAAGTGTTGTAGGGTATTCAACGGTCGGCCCCGCTCGACTGTAGCCTTTGCTTACTTGTTTTTTTTTATTTGCAGAAAAAAAAAAAAAACTTCTACAGAAAACCCCCTTAAGGCCTTCTATGGATAGAAGAACTCATACGGGGGGTTCTATGTATAGAAGATCTGCTGTGGATATTCTATGGATAAAATATCTGCTACGTGTATTCTAATATTCTTCTACAGATAGGAAATCTTCTGATAGTTTTTGACCTTCTTATAAAGGTCTTCGATGGATAGATCAGCCTTTAAAGAGTATTCTATGAGCAGAAAGTTATCAAAAAATACCTTGTAGAAAGAAGACCACCTAAAGGTGTTCCATGGATAGAACACCTCCATAAGATCTTCTATGGACTGAAGTCCACCTAAAGGACTTTTATGGATAGAAGAAAAGGAGATAGAAGGTCCTCTAAAGGCCTTCTGTGGATAGGATAATTTTTATGGAGCTTCTATGGATAGACAACCTTTTAAGGATTTTCTAAATATAGAAATCTTCTAAGGAGTTTGGCTTGTTCCAAAATAACCTTCTTATTTTTAATTTTTTAGCGTAAAAACTACACGATTGCAATAACGTTGCCCCGTTCCATGGCTAATATATTTAATATCCCCTGGCTATGTTTGCCTCAGCCCTGGCCTCCTTTGCTAGTTGTTTTTTAAACAACAACAACGTAAACCCTATATAAACTTCAGTTTAACTACAGTTATCTTAAAACAAGGGGCATGTTTATTAGGTGCAAAATCCAACAACAAATATTTTTGAAATAATTGTACACACTTTATTCTATTTCCAAAATCATTTTTTAATCATTTACATTGGTGTTGTCGATATTGGTATTGTCGTTACTTATACGCCCACATGAACATGAGATTTTGTTTAGTTCTACGGAAAATTCTTTATTTTATTTTAAATAAGTTAACTCAAATAAGTTGATAATACCATAATACAACGAGTTCATCTTGTTTTCTTTTAAATAAAACATTCCCTAATGTACATGTGTTATATTTTTAACCATATTTGTTTGCTTTAGCTTCTCCTTTTCCTCTATTTTCTTTTATATATTTTTATATTTTATATTGCAACTATTCTGTTCTTTAGTTCTATCATTATTATTTTTTTTAAGTTAAACCTTACGTGTGTGAAGTTGCACTTTTGTAATTTAAGAATATCAGATAAATATCACTGGTTGATGTAACAATTTAATATATACTTGATGTTAATATTAAAATTAAGCCATAGAGTTTATGTAAAGACCTATAGAGTACAGTGACTAGGGTTACTTTCAAAAGGCAGGTAATAAATTTAATATCCAAAGATATTTTATGGGGATTTGTCGCACATCCATGAGACATATGGTGTAGATAAAAATCTGCAACAAAGTCAAAAGCCATAATTTTTACATTTTTTTAAATTATATTGAATGAAATCAAAAAATGTCGGAAATAGCATCAAATTTTAAAATTTTGGAAAATTTTAGAAGTTCAGATTTGTTCGAATTGGCCACCTTTCAAACGGACAATGAAACCGTCACACGGCGAAGCGCTTGCTTGAGGTGATCGACACTTTGGTATTTTTAGTGCCAACCTTGCTTTCCAAATCCTTGCTTTCCAGACCCAATAGTCCAACGAATTGGTATCTGGAGATTTTGGTGGCCATTATGTACTGGAAATGAAGCTAAGAACCTCATTTTGTAACCATGGGTGGCGAGTGCTGAGTGCCTGTTGGAATGTCCAAGGTCTGCGGCCAAAATGTTTGCATGCCCAAGGCTTTAATACCCTCTCCAGAATATTTTCGCGATAATATTCGGCATTTATTCTGATGCCACGGTCGATTAATACGAGCGGAGAGCGACCATCGGCGGCCCACACCATCACCATGGCCGTTGCTTGAGTTCTGGTGGCCAACGGAAGGTGCACATTATCGGCTGACCTCTTTGGCAAGTAAACACGATCATTTTTTTTGCTTACAAACTGCTGGACAACGAATGTTTTCTCATCGGAGAAAACCAAATTCGGCAGTTCACCACTTTTGGCCATGAGAAGCAACTCTTTAGCTCCTTTGCCCTACTATATGCTCATGACGAATCACCACTTATGGCAATGTGCAAAGTTAAGCATCACTTAGATAAGGTTTCCCGTTTTTATGATAGCTGGGGCATTAAAATCAATCCATCTAAAACCGAGGCCATATGCATAAGAAATGCATCAGGGAAATGTTGCACTGTGAAAGAATCATGTTTGAAGTGAATTGGGAAAATGTACCTTATTTCTTTTATAAACCAAAATAGATGATATTTTTATTTAAATTTCCCCGGAAAATCTTCTAGATGATTTTGACTCAGATTAGAAACGTATGAAATGTACAATACGAGATGGTACGAGACACAAAAGATTTATTCACATTTGAATTCTGGAGTGCTTTAACGATAGCCAACTTTGGATTTCCAGCCAAATATAAAGAAATCACACTATCACGTTTGAATTCCATCACGAATAACTTTTTTTTTTTTGAAAATTCTCACCAAAATGTCGGACGAGTGGCTTAAAATGACAGCAGTTTGAAGTTGGTTGCAGTTTTTTCATTTCACCCTGTATATATAGTAATTCTCAATTTCAGCAATACAGGGCTATACAAAAACGTGGGCCTTCACATCAAATTATCTGCCAGCGAGGGTGGTGCTTATTACGAACTTCAAGTACCAAGTTTGATACAATTCCGTTTGAAAAATGAACCTTAAATCATCAAAACACCGAATATATTGAGATACCGTTATATGGGGTTATACGAAGACGTGGACCTATTAATATACCCTCCATACTATGGTGGAGGGTATAAAAACACTTCATGTGAATTTATGCCAAAAAAAGATAAAATCTTTTTTAATAAAATTTCATCATACGCCACCAAAGAGTCTACCATAGTATGGAGGGTATAAAAACTTTTCATGTGAATTTATGCCAAAAGAAGACAAAATATTTTTAATAAATATTTCATCATAAGTCACCAAAGAAAATAAAACTCTATTTTCATTATATATTAAGAAAATATTTGTATCAATTTCCTAATTTTTCTATAATTT